AGGAAAAAAATGGGTAAGTTTATTGATTATAATAGTTAAAAAGTTGTTTTAATGTTTATGCAGACAAGATTTCTAAAACTATTGATTCGAATTTATGAATACAAGAAAGGGAGCTTTGCTTCATCACAGCGCCCCCTGTATTGGATTCCAAATATATACTTACCAAAGTAAAGTACGTATTTTCACAAAAAGTCGGGTATTAAAATATTTATCAATACGAACCATAATTTTTTGATAGCATCTAGCTAGGTATTTCAGAATTTAATACCTATTCTTTTCTAATGTAGGTATAAAACTGTATCATTACTCAAGATGCGAGAACGTGGCATTCTCATGTCGTTGCTATTTCCGAGGTACCAGGTTCGATTCAGACTAAAAGTACTTTTCTATATTTTCAGGTCTAGGTACGCGTACCATATCAGATTTCTATAAATGCATCCTTAAACTAAGTGTTTTTAGTTTCATTACCCGAATGTGAATGTTTTTGAAATTCTTAAATCATCTCAACGATTTCTTGATCTCTATTGAGTATTACTGATGTATTAAAAGGCTATACATATTATTTATTTTTAAATTAAGATAACCGAATATTTAAATAATATATTTTGAATTTGGTGTTGTATTCTGTGGCCTTACTTATATGCTTTTTTCAACACTACCCACCATCTACCTACTGTCTTAACCTTACTTCTGTTCCTGAAACAATGAAAATGTACTTTAATCAGTTGACATAAAGTAGCTTTTTATCATTCGGAATTAGAAGTAAGTTTAGAACAATTATGATTTTTGTGCTTGTTTTGTCCTGGTTCTTAGTATAAATATAATATTATCGTTACATATTGTTGTGCAAATACTTCATATGTATTTTCGTTCAAATAACCATAAAAATTAAGGCCATAAAAGTTATTTTGGTAAGTCAAGTACTTTTTTCTGTTTATTCATTTAGGAGCTTTTATTCTTACTGCAATAATATGCCAGTGCCTAAAATAAAAACTTTAATGTACTGATATTACTTATTATAATAGATTTATTAACAGTATAAATTATTATTAATATTTACTCACCCTTATATTTGTTGCAAAATGAAAGCTACATTTTTATAAATATATTCTCTTAATTCTTATACCTACATATGAATGTACAATTAACTCTCTTGAAACATAGCTATGGCTAACATTTGAATAGTTTAATATTTTCACTGTTGCTTCTATTAATTAATAAATTAATAGTATGAGTATCAATACAGAACCTATATAATTATTTTAATAGTATATAAGCTTTTAAAAATAAATCTAATAGATTATAAAATGTTCTCTATTTTAAGTTTTATTTATTATGAAAACGATTTAAAAAAAATGTTTGACTTAAAATTTTATTATAAATTGTTTTTAAGCATTACATTATTTTTATGTAAAAAGTAGATTATGGCTATTGAAACTTACTAAAGAGGCTGTATTTTCCCATATATGCGTTATAATGCTGTTCATTACAACATTTTACTCATTTATTATTACACTTGGTAATAAAGCCACTCTCGCTGCTCATAAAAATATGTGCATTTCATCAATTTCTTTTCATCAAACATTAGGTTTTATCATTTTTAAAACATATTAAAAAGTAATACGCCCTCAACAAATTTATCTTTTTTTACTATCTTTCCTAAATAATCTGAAAACAGAAAGTTTATGTAGTTGATCTGCTACTTAGCAATTAGTACAGTACAAGAAGGTTATTTTGACCAAGTAAGGTAACTTTGACCCGGTTTAAAGTTTCAGCTAATTTTGTTATTCATACTTTTACACATAAATGGCAAAACTAATGAATTTCCATACTGTTTATTCTCGTTTAGGGACAAAGTTACCTCCAAATAAATCTCTTTTACGGTAGGTATACTTAATCTTATAGATACAACTCAATATAATGCAAACCTAACCTGGGTTAGGTTAGGTTGGCATTGTGTTTGTTTTGAGTTTTAAGTATGCGATTGATACACAAATATATGTGTTTCATATCAAAACAAATAAGTAATTATTGCATGATTTATAACATTTTATTAAACTAGCAAATGTTTGCCGTCATTGTAAAGTGTGGATTGATTGATGGAACTACAATACCCTCTCTACTCTCCCTACTCAAAACTGTGACAAGATGGCGTCAGTGTGCTGTTATTTAGAGTCAGTTTATTTTGAAAAAGTGATGTTTTATCTAGGAGTAAAGTATGAGGTCGTGATTAGATAGCGTGGCGCAGCCCTTCGTTGATAGATAACGGTAGATTCCAACGTTGCCAGAACTCAGGAAGCCATTCTTTGAATTCTTTTTAGTAGATATCAATAAATTCAACAAACAAAAATCCTTCATCAATTTTCTAATTTCCCTTTGACTATTTGCATATGTTAGTTCTTTCTTGTTATATTTATTTTACTTATACTTATTTATAAATATGTATGTTCTAATAATAATACAAGAAAAAATATTAAATAAACCTCCAAAAAGTACAAAATACACAGGAAAAAATACAATTGCAGACCAAGGTATGGATGACAATTGTATTTTATTGCGGTACAGTTACCACAATATTTGAGGAACATTTATATATGACCCAATAAAAACTACTTACCTATCAGTATTATTTATTGAAATATGTAAACAAACATGTAAGAATAGTTAACTCAAAAATTATACCTTATAGAAAAAAAAATGTGCTTATTTTAATTTTTACTCATGCAGCTCTAATGATTTAGACAATAAAATAAATATTTGAAAATAACATTCTTATGTGTTTTCTTCTCAAAAGATTTTACCGCCTTATAATAACTTCATACCTATCTTATGAAATCCTATGAAAAAATACGTTAAGAAAATTATTTCTAATTAATAAAATATGAAGTTACTCATAATATTAAATGAACTAATCGCTAAAGATTCGAAACTTTATAATATGGGTAAAATAAGTGAAAATTTTCTTAGTATAGTTAGGTTTATAACAGTACAAGCACGTAGTGGCACGTGGTCCGCGCGACTGACGTGCAAACTCCCCGCAGCGTCTGGCAACACTGATACGCACTTCCGGCGCCCTTTTCCTACATCTACCCTCTCCACAACTCAGCGCCTATTAGAAATTGACAAAAAAATGCACTATTTTAAATAATTTTCCCAAATTAACGGCACTTTTTAAAGCACCAGTGAAACGCCGCTAGTGAGACACAAACAGTCGCATTATTTCCGAAAATCTACCTTCTTTTAAGATTTTTTTGTTTATTTTTGTTATGTGACGCATTAGAAAACTTTAAAATATGTTGGGAATCTATGAAAAAATAGGATATTTATTTTATTTTATTTTTAATGCGATTATTTGTATAGTGATCTCTGCGAATGATCTTTCATCTGTCTTTTAATTAAAAATTATCGATTCTTTTATTAAAACCCACATTAATTTAATATTTGTACTATCTGATCAATAAATAATGAACATTAAAATAAATATAATTTCATTAATTAATAAAAAAAAATGTTTACAATTTTTTCAACACAGAAACCAATTTCTAGGGTTATTTTTGTAGAAAATAATTTTTTTTTCAGTGTAAATATACTTATTCCATAAAATAGAGTTTCTTTAAATCAGTTATTAAAAGTTTATTTAAATAATTATTGTTAGTATACTTGGCAAAAAAAACTATTTTAACATTCTTGAAAAGGAGATAAGTATTTGAAACATTTACTACTAAAAACAATCGTTTTCTATTAATTCAGTTAAAACTTAGGACAAAAACAATTCATAATATTTAAATAAAGATTTTTATTTTATCTCTCTACCACAAGTATAGCATGAAAAAAGTACTAGATAAATTAACTGAACTGAACAAACAATAAAAATGTTTTTTTGAAAAGTTTAAATCCAATATGTACCTATATTTAAAAATTTAGGTTATTAATAAGCAGTTTAGCCGGCTTAACCTTTAAGGTGTATGGCTTAATAAAGAATAAAAATAAAAAAAAATAAAAAAAAGCAGTTCAGAAATAAACCTAAGGAAAATTTTACACGAATAAAGCCATTAAATTTTTCTTTAGATATAGATATTATATAATTGAATGCTTAAAAGAAATATATATTTTAACGTGTCGTAAACAAAAGAGAATGATCACTTAATTTCTAAATTAAAAGTGGATTTACATTAGAAAAGAGTTACTTAGGTAAAAGCAAATTTTGATGATTTCTCCTAATTTTTCCCATCTCATTAAGATAAAAATTTAGTGGAGTTTTTCTTTTTATAACGAATAATTAATTTTTTTAAACTGTGCAATAGTTTAAATGAGGAAATATAAAAAATATGCAAAGAATTGCAATACATTACAGTGTGCCTAAATAATTTATGTTATATAATTTGTTTTAATCATTATGAACAAGATGTAAGACAAGTACAGTTTACTTCAGTTTACCACTATTGTCATCAATCTACCTACTATCAAATTTAATGTTTAAAAAAGTTTATAGTCCAGTTAGTTTTTATGATTGCTTTAGAATTTGCAAGATATTGTATTGTACTAAAATATATTTTTATAAATTTAAATGAAACTTATGCCAACATAAAACACTATCCACTTTGTCAATTGATTATTATAAATTATAATTTTTGATACATTTAAAGTAAAAACGATTGCTTAAACTAATTATAACGTTTTTACTGACCTAATAATCTAACTCTTTTATTTATAGCTGGGTGATAATAATGTTATCGCTTGTTGGAACAAGTCAGTGTGTAGATGTCCAGCAGTGGTAGTGGTAGTCCTGCCGCGTGGCATCATGCGTAAGGTTTTTTCATCCATTACGACAGTGCTTGTCAATTTTCTGGAAAATTTTTCAAAACTAGCACAGCGGTGGCGGCGCGGCGTCGGTGAGCAATTTGCGAGGCTCCGCGCTTCTATGTGTGACTTCTCGTCAGATTGCGAACGTGCCTGTGTGAGTGCACGTGAAGGTCGAATATTTGTCCCTATTCGTCGGTCTATTGGTTCAACACTCGCCGCTGTGATAATGAGCAGTCGTGGTCTCGCTCACACTCGGAACCAAACGAGCTTATGGAAAGGGACGGCCGGTGATGTGCGCGTGCGTCGGAACCTCCGCCGGCGCCGGCGCGGCCTGCCCTCATCAGTCTCCCCGCGGCGGGGAAGCGATTCGCGCGTGCAACTTCGTGCCGATCGAGCTGCGGTTTCGACCGTCTCGCTTCGCACACGAATATTTTTAGATAACAGCGCGGATAATTTATTCGCAAGGTAGTGATCGCGCGCACTTTTGCGGATATCGGTATAGGCGCATGCGGGTTCGTGTGCGAAGCGGCGGCGCAGCTGCTCGGGCCGCCGTCGGCGATGTCCCGATAGGTAAGCTGCGCACTTCCTGCGCGCGCCGCCATGTTCGGTCGGAACGTCACTTCCGCTGGGGCCGGAACCGCCGCGAGCTGTGCGGGCCCGAGCTGCGGGCCCTGCGGCACAGGGGCTGCGCACGCGCTGACGCCGCTCGGTGCGCTCTTAGTTCAATGAGCGACGGCTCTCGATTCATAAAATGTCGGTCGTCCCATTCACGCCGCGGCGCGATGCTACGTCGAACGTTCACTAGTGACCCTCGCGTCTTCGAATATTCATGTCTCCCTCGATAACATCGTAACCTCTGACTTCTTTTTGTATTATCACGTTGTTTAGTGAACGCCACTAGCTGAGACCGAACTTCGCGCGAAGTGGTGGAAACATAAGTTTAGTGTCCGTTCAACCACTGTAAGGATATTTGTTCAACTGTGAAAAATTTTGTGTGTAGTGATTAAAATAGTGATTTACAATGCCTCTCATGGAGTGTACCAATTTTAGCGTAAGATTAGAATTATTTTTCTTTTATTTTCTATTGCACTTTTACCATCTTATACTCTTATGACACAAGTTTATTATTTTTATATTTTAAGATATTATAATTATATGTTTCTTATAGGTACTACATCATTTAAATATGCGAAAGAAATACACAACTAATATAAATCTGTTTAAATTATAATAAAATTATGTTATAGTTTAATAAAGTTACCATTTCAATAATTTTATTTGCACAAGTACTAATAAATACAGCTATTGGAGATAAACTACAATAGATAAAGAAACATTTTACCATAAAAAAAGTTTATTGAGTTAAATATTTGTTATAATCTAGTTAGAAATTAGAAAAACGCATTTACAGGAAATTAGTATGCAACCGTGTAACTATCGTCCAGTTTTTGTTTTTCCATCCTTTTCACTCATTATATCTTTCCTTTTGTATTTTTATCTTTTTCGTTACATTGCAAATTATTATTAAACTACCCACAATTTATAACTAATGATTAGCAAACTTCGATAATTCATTGCAATGTTAATGACCAGTAGTGAACTAAAGTTTGTTGTATGTTTAACATCAATGTAAAGTTATTTTATAAAGAATATTTTTTAAACTTTATTTAAACTATATTTAAAGTCTTTTAGATAATTAAACCAATTAATCAAATCAAGAAATCAAAATACTGATAAGAAAAATAATTAGAAAATATTTATTACCGCCTTTAATGTTACACTTTATTTATTTATTTAAAACGTTACTTGTATTTAAATTTTATCTATATTAAGTTATTAGCGTTGCAATTAATGGAAAAAATAACTCTATAAACTTTGACATTGATTGATAAATTGATTATTTGAACATCTAACAGTGAAATGCTTAAATATATATACAATATTTTAAATTAAATATCGATAACAATACTTCAAACATAAGTATAGGAACGGTGGTGGACAATATCAACTCGCAGATGATAATACTGTAACTGATGATGAGTCAGGTATTTACTACGTCAGCGACACGTGTGCCCTCGTCCAAGGCTGACTCACAGCATCTCTCTGACGTAGTACTTACTACTAACCAAACACAGAACACCGCGCGCCCTTAGCTATTTTAATATAACTCCTTTACTGAGCGTGTTGCTCAATTAGACCGTTCCGTTGCGTGCGCTTTGCCAACTCGCATCATAGCTGAGTCCTCGGCTGTGACATATTTCAGCGTTGACGCCTACAGCCATCAGAGTGCGAACATTGCGCGCGTTGCGCCTCCGCTTCCGTTGCAATGCGGCGGCGGCGTGGGCGCACATTTCATAAGCGTTTCCTCCGCTGGCTTCCTCCCACCAGGGGAAATACCCTCTATAAGTGTTCCTCACTCTTGCCTTTTTAGTTTTGGACGTCCGCAGACGCATCTTTAAACGACAACTGATTGCAACACACGTCCCGACTGCGTGTAGGACGATACCGAATGCGATATGCAAATGTCCTCATACTAAATTGGTCAGTCATTGTTATATCCGCACTCATAGCTGCTATTGCTCGTCATTCATAACCGTATTGAACGTGCGTGACGCTTCCGTCCACGGCGCAAAATTATATTTATGAAACTATAAAAATCTGTACGTTGGCACCCTTCTCAAGTCGATGGTCGCCTACCTACCTACTACATTCTGTGAAAACGCGCAGTAAATAAATTCGCACGTTGTGTGCCCAGCTAGCATTTCTCAGCCCCACGATAACCTATTAAGGGTCCCTCCACAAAAAGCGATCATTATAAAAGCATAATAAAGACTGCACCGGCGCCGAGCCTTCCCAGAACTGGGGCCATTCTTATTTCGCGCTCCCGCCTTATTCATGGCCTTTTTTGTACGGTTTTGGTCATTTTTTCACGAGAGCGGTTCTCTTGTGAGAGTTCTAAGGAAATGGCTTATTGGGTTTCGTATTGGAGCCAGGCTTATCTCGAGGAGTCGATCGGCGGCGGCGGCAACGGCGGCGGAGGAGCGCGGTGCGAACGGACCCGGGAATGCACGTCACATTCCGTGCGCGTGCACCGTTACACAATCAACAAACCGCATACCAGACATGCGTACACATACAATCGCGCTATGACTTATCACCCCAATATAAGGGCATTCATCTTTTCATTATAATTCACAATTATAACCCATTAATCATAATAATTTACAATGCACTTTGAAGATCTTCTGTTTTTTTTTAAGTAGTAAAGCACACCTTGTTCTGCTACCAATATTGTTAGAAATCTTTCAATCTGCACTCATAAATAAAATATTAGTGTAATTAAAGACTATAAACATTAATCCGCCACATAATAGTTAAATAATCTCCCAATTATGAGAAAGAATTTCATGTAAAAGATTTTGTATTGTTTGTAATGTTAACTGCACAACGTTTAGAGTTACTTTTTATCATGATAATTTAATATGTCATCGCGATGCATGGAAATCAATCCATTTACAAGAATTTCAGTTAGGGCTGTCAACTTTCTAGTGTAATCATATTAACTGCAAGTTTTATTAAGATATTAAATTAGCTACATTTTCTGATTTCACCTCTGATTCGGAAATTAGCTACATTTTCTGATTTCACCTCTGATTCGGAAATTTGTTTCTTTTATGTAACAGTAGTATTTTTTAAGTATTTTTTTATATAAAGAGAATTTCCCTTTGAAATCCATGATAGTTTGTTATTTTTTAACTTTATAAAATGACAATAACTGATGTCGCAGAGTTTAAATATCACAAGAAGTCGTTTATTCCAGTGGGTGTCCGTTTTCACGACTGTTGCGTGTCACTAAACTAATTATTACGCGTATTACCTTCCTCGCAGACGAAACATTTAAACGGACAACGCGTTGGCAACCATCCAAAACGCAGACCATTATTATCATATTTTTGTTTTATATTGACGACTTTCAAAATCAGGTCTGATTTTACAATGTTTTCTTGGCTGTGCTCAAAAGCAGCTTGTAAGAAGAGAATTTATGTACACTAATAATATTTTTTCACACAACAACTTTTTTAAGTCATAATGGCATCAAATGGCACATATTCTTCGGGCAGTGTTGGGGAAAAAAATATTTATAACTAATTGTCACTGTTCGAAAGGTGTTTTAATATAAAATTTTCTTGCATTTTCAGGTGCGAGAAGAAATTGTGAAAATCTGCGATGTCACAACCTGAGCACTAAACGTGCTATAATGGACAGACAAATGATGAGGTATGTACACAATACTATGTTAACTAAATAACCAATAATTACCTTATACACTAACTGGTAGTTAACAAAACATTGTCTGGATTGAAAACAAAAATTTTGATTTGCGAAATTTAATACATATTTACGGGATTGTAGTTGCTCGATATTACGTTGTTTATGGAAAGATGTGCCCAGATCACAGCTCTTAGTCAGGGCAAATGGAGGCGAACGATTACTGGTAGATAACAAGATATTGTCTGGATTTAAAACAAAAACAGAAACATTTGAGAATTGGAAAATTTGCTTATGTTTAGCTTCGCTCGATATTGCGTTGTTTAGGAAAAGTGGATCATTATCTTCGCAAAGGGAAACTAAAATTGCTGGTAATACACAAAATATTGTCAACAAAAACATTGGTTTGCGAATTAGAAAACTAACTAGTGTTTAGCTTCGCTTTTTGAAAGCTATTGCGTTGTTTAGGAAAGGTGTGCCCAGGTCACAGACCTTATCCAGGGCAAAGGGATGCTAGAATTGCCAGTTAAAAAGATATTGTCTGTATGGAAAACAAAAATATTGATTTGCGAATTAGAAAACTTACTAGTGTTTAACTTCGTTCGATATTGCTTGGTTTAGGAAAGGTGTGCCCAGGTCACGGCCCTTATCCAGGGCAAAGGGAAGCTATAAATCTGTCGGCGCGAACAATGGCGCGATAACGTGCACCTTGCGCCTGCGCCGAGCCGCGATACTGGCGCCCTCTCCTCGCGGCCCCTTCTACCGGCTTATAAGCTTAGAAACATTTGCACTTTGTTAGTTCTTCCCCTGTATGTTAGTATTTGTAGTTTACCACGCAATTTATGCCCTTTCGATAAAAGTATGAGTTAAGCTTTCTTAAGCTCTGTTAGTTGAACAACTTTTAAACTGAAAAAGTGGAAATAGTTATATAGAACATAATTTCCTGTAAATGCACTCAATGCGTAGGTATACTCAAGGATTATGTGAATGTAAATGATTATCTGTATATAAAAACTGATTGAGTTTTCAGAACGATAAAAATATTAAAAAAGTATAGAAAATAAGTATTCGGTCTGAGGGTGAAAGAGCTTAAGAGATTTAGAAAGCAAATTGAATGGAATTTTTCTATCAATATATTTAAAAAAATTCGCCCATTACTAGTATATTGAATAGGTAGATAGAGTACCTTCTTACATAAGCATTTATGGTAGGTACAAAGATCTGAGCGCCAGTCAGTAGGTATAGTTTGACACATTTTGGCTGATAGGTCGGTCGGCGATGCGAGGTGAGGGGAGAAATAGAGGTCGACGTAGCGCAATCCTTATCAGTCATTGACCTTCGCACCTAAACCGAGCCTCACATCTCGTTCGGCGCGCGCGCATATACATTACCTACCTAAATATATATTTATAAAAAAACGGGAACACTTTTTTATTAACTGTGCGTACTCACAAAGTGGGAGTAGGTGCCGTGTTCCGATTAAATTTCAGATTTCACGAGCATGCATCGTGTTCCACACGGACGGACGAATTATTTTTGACCTTTTTTTAACACAATTACGTCATGCGCTAAACAAGCGATGTAGAACTTGTACTTACAACAAGGACTGAAATTACTAAAGCGGACAGATCACGCCCTACGGTGCTGAGATTACTGTTGGCAACGGACGAAACGTTTGAGTTGGTACTTGAGAGATCTTTTTTGTCAGCTAGAATGTTCTTCTCTCCTCATTTTCTAAATTCAGGAGTAAAACAAAGCAAAGCGAATTACCTATCATATACTGCCAAAATCAAAATAAATGGAAAACTAAGAAGACGCTTTTAAGAAGACGTAAAAAAATGCCTATAATATTGGTCATATATAAATAAATAAAACAACACCAAGAAATTAACAGACTATTTGCAATTAAGTTACTCTCATTGTATTTTTTTTTTTACATTTTATTTATTGAACTAAAGAAAAATGAAATATATACAATCCATGTAAACCTCTGTTTTTTGCGACTATAGGAAAATGTAATGTATTTTTAGACTCTATAAAATAAAAGGAACAGCTACTATTAAAGCAAATGTAATAAGCTGGTTATCTGGTCATACAATAGATATAAAATACTACTTATTGCAGAGCTGTTAGTTACATTCATATCATTGAGACCATGTTAGGCGTTTGGCGAAGCTCTGGAATTCTGGATACGGTTTATAATAATGTGAATCCGTATTTCATGAACATTAATATCCGCTGATTGATTGCCACGTGACTTTCTCTCCTGACTGACACTAGCTCGATTTAAAAACGAGATTGAGATATGGACGGCAGATAGGCGCCGGTGGGACCTTGACCCGTATCCCGCTCGGCGGGCGGCGCGCTGCCACAATGGACTATTCTGCGACATCGGACCCTCGACTCGATACACCCCTCCCCTCCCCCCTCTCTGCGCACGAAGTGACACCTATCGCCGTCACCATTTACACAACTTTATAACTTTGCATACTTATATGTACCTATTAACGTATCAAGGTTTTCCCAAGATTCTCACCAATAAAATGCAAGTTCACATTCGAGACAACCAGAAGGTATTACGGATTGAGGGGCTCGATGGCGCATGTGGATAGCACATTTGATCTGCGATCGTGGAAGTTGAGCAACTTTCTCAATGGTCGGTCATTGGATGGATGACCAAAAACTTATTATCTCGAGCTTCGGCAGGCACATAAACTCGTCAGTCCCGGCTGCATCTGCATTCGTTTGCAAGCACCAATTCGCACGGGGCCCGCGTGGTGAGTCATGGCCCAATCTCCCTATTCCATCCGTAGATAATGAATGGCAGTGGGGACATTAATAGGCTGGTAATGATAATGATGTTAGTAGCATCGTGTTACGCTTACATAAATAAGGTTCGTTGAAAACTGGCCTCCTTAATTCTACCGCTGCCCATTATTATTTTGTTCAGAGTCACTCTTTTTTTCTGGTAACTAGTGATAAGTAATGCTGTGCGCTCACTATGTTAATCCTTATTCCAGGAATGTTGTTTGCATAATTTTCCACCGTGAGCACGAATCTCGTATCGAATTAATGGTATCGATATGCCGTGCGACACACCGGAGTCGGTCACAGTGTGTAATTAGACGAGCTAACAAAATTCGGGGGGCGGCGCGGGTCGCGATGAATAAAACATGGCGGTGCG